CATAGCAAAAATGTTACATAACCTGTAATAACTCTCGTCAAAAATAAGGAGTTCGGCTCGAGCCGCCGTACGAGTCGGACGTGTTTTGTTGTCGCGCTTGCTCGCTGTGGTTATCCTCACTTATACGGACCGCGGAGGACGTGTGCGGTGTATCGGGGGGTTGTTATAATTTGGGTGGGCCCTAATTATCTATAGCCTCTGTTGCTCCCCTCTCGGAGGGGGAGCGGTTAGTCTTGTAGAGAATAGTCTCCTTGTATGGAATTTTCGGAGATATTAAGTGACACGGGGTCAGCGCGTGACGAGGCTCATTCGGGTAATGATTCCCAGTATAAGTCTAGCAAAAGACTGAAAACGAGCCTAAATGAGCAGGAATTCGACTCGTTTGTTAAAAACATCTCATCTGGGACGGATTGGCAGGAGGTGAAGTCCCAAAGAAACTCTTATTCTAAGAGACAAAGAGAGGAGGAGATCCATAAACGACGCAATATTGACATGGAGGACAATTCGCCCCGGGATGATATGGAGGTTGACGTTAACTCGAACTTTGCAGATTCTCAGGGATCGAATCAGGTACTCCGCAATACTAGTGATATTAATGACAACGCTCCTCCTTTGCCGCCTGTACATAGAGACTGTGATGGAAAAGCCGGAGAATCACGTGATTCCGGCATGACAAATTCTAATGTACCTGCTGACTCTCAAGTCAATGTAAACATGCCTGCCATTATTACTAAGGAAGTATACACTGTTAGCGGATCTATTTTAAAGGCTCGTGACCTTGCTGTCGATGACTCTCCGGTATTGCGGAAATATTCTAGATATGATGACGATTTCATAGGTAAAGCTAATATTATATTGCGCCTCCCTCCCGATCAGACTACAACTAGAAGGGGTAAGAATCTGATTAAGATCTGGATGATTTTAACTGACTTGCAGATTTGTCCGTTATCTGTTTCCATGACTAATCACTTCTCGGCAGAGGCTGTATTTAAGGATTTCAGAGACGCTAATTTCGCGCTTGACAAGATCGATGCGCTTAAGGAACCGGTGAAACTTAAGGCCGGTTTAGAACAACGTTTCATCGTTTGCAAGGGAGTTGTCTCGGACTGGCCCTCGTCGATTCCGGACCTTTGGTCGAGTATTCGGGACAGATCTGGAATTCTGAGTATGGAGCGCATGTACCGCAGGAAGTGGGATCCGGTAAACAACAAGACTACGCTTCTGGCCACGGACAACATCATCGTGACATTCAAGGACAAAAACATTAGAGATCTGAATATCTTTACTAATGGTGTCTGCCTCAGGGTTCGCCCTTTCGTCCCGCAAGTTCGGCAGTGCTTCAACTGTTTCAGGTTTGGTCACACTAAAATATCCTGTAAGAGTGACACGCGTTGTATAATATGTGGAGATAAAGCCCATGGCCAATGCGAAAAACCGATACATTGTTGCAATTGCGGAGGCCACCATAAGTCTACTTTCAGAGGTTGTTCCGTTTTTGAAAAAAACAAGAATATAAATATTGTGATGGCTCATAAGAACATTTCTTTCCATAGTGCGAAACGAGTCGTGGAGGGTGATGGTCCTTCCCCCCCTTTGGATCGTAATAAATTTCTGAGCCCTACGTCGTGGCCTGTTCTGCCGAGTTCTGCCGGTCCGGCGTTATATTCAGAGGCACTGAGAGCCGAACCTTCTCAATCGGCTAAGACGACTGTTCCACAATCGAGAGATAAAAGAGAACGCATCTCACGCAATATACTCAATGACAAACGGAGCTCATATGAAGCCTCGCGCAATTTTTATAAATCATTTGATCTTCGTGCTGGCGAAATCACCAGGGAAAAACATGGCATTATGAACACAGCCCGATTTGGGGTGGGTCGCGGGAATCTTCCCGACGACGAAGCGGAGTCTAGCCCGCGGGAGGATCATCGTATTTTGGAGACCATTGAGAGCATTTTATTGCTATTGCGAAGAACCCCGGGTGCGCGGGAGATGCTGATGCTCGCTCTGGCGGAATCGGATGCTCGTGACGGTCCCGGGGGGGGGGCCTTCCCCCTTTCCACAATGATGGGGGTGTTGGGGAGTCGGATTGTAGAGTACTACCAAGGTATTTTAGGAATAAAGAGAATCTTTGCCCTATTTTTGTATAAACATTCAATCTTCTTCTTTGGAACTGTAGAGGATACAAAAGTCACAAAAATGAACTATCTAAAATCGCATTGGAGTACGATATTATCATACTGACAGAGACTCGCTGTACCGGTCGTGTTCCAGTATATTTCCCTGGATTCAAGACGCTCCATAGCGACAACCTGCTGAGTAGTGGAGGTGTATCCATCTCCGTCCGTTCTCACATCACTTTCGATATATTGACGATCAGCGGGGCACTTCCGACTGACTACGATGTAATTAGTATCAGAACCACGAATCTTGTTAATAATATAAACATAATTGCGATATACAGACACCTCAGATCTAATATTGGTACTCGGGACTTTAATTCCATTTTCAACTCTCTGAATGGTAATTCCAATGATACAATTATCTTAGGTGATTTTAATGCTCACAACACTGCATGGAACTGTGAAACTACAAACAACAACGGCGAGCTTTTGCATGACCTAATGTTTAACGAGGGTTTTTCATGTATCAATGTTGACACCAAATCCCGCATTGGTTACAGTGGTCAAAGGGATTCCAACATCGATCTTTTGTTTGGCTCTGGAGATATCGTCGGTAACATTGACTACCGCCAACTTGAGGATGCTTGCGACAGTGATCATTTCCCTATAAGCTTTTCTATTGACGCTCCCACCCAGATCTATAGAAGGCTTTCAAATAAATCATCTTCCAAAAAAACGAACTGGTCTCATTATCAGGATTTTGTCAGGAGGGAAATCGATTCCTTCCTCCTGCCAAATTTGCCTTCTTTCAAGCTGGATTTTGAAAAATATTATCAGGCTTTCACTGACTCCCTTAAGGGGGCCGTCCATCAGGCCTCTGGGGGACGGAGAGACATATTACGTGCATCAGATTCTCCACGAAAAATCAAGAGATCCCATAGATGGTGGAATGCGGACTGTGATGCCGCTATTCGGGACAGGAGGCTTGCCTTTGCTGAATTTAAGAGGCTTAGAAACATTCATACATGGAATAACTATAAGCGTTGTTGTGCTGTGGCCAGGAAAATTCTTAATCAGGCAAAAAGGGAGAATTTTGAAGATTTCTGCAAAGAAATCAATAGATTTACGAGCCTTTCTTATGTTTGGAGTACCATTCGGATCTTGAAGAATGCTCGAAAAAATATAGAGTGGAATAAATGGCAGACCAAGGACAGAGAAATGGAAATTAAAAAAACAATGGATACTCTCGCTCCCCCCTATGTGGGTGTGGACCCTTCTTTTGGAGCAGAACGCGCTTGCCCCAATGAAGAACTTGATGCTCCATTCCTTCGATCCGAGTTGGATCGGGCGATTGAAATGATCAGGAGGGACTCCGCTCCTGGCATGGATGGCATGGAGTATAAGATGCTCAGGCTCCTTCCTGAATCAGGCAGGGCCTGTCTCTTAGAACTATTTAATATAGTTTGGTCTACTGGTGTGCTCCCCGCGGATTGGTCCTGCTATCAGGTGATATTTATAGATAAGGTTGGTCGGGAAAAGGTGCGCCCTATCTCTCTCTCTTCATGCGTTGGCAAACTTATGGAGCGCATGATTAATGAGAGATTGATCTGGTGGGCTGAAAAAGAAGAAAAATTTAGCTCGTCACAGAGCGGTTTCAGGAGGGGGAAGTCTTGTGCCGATAACCTGGTCAGGATTACATCAGATATCCGAGCTGCTCTGAGTGCGGGCGAATATACCTTGGCTGCTTTCCTCGATGTCTCTGCGGCATATGACAGCGTGGAATTCCATATCATGCTGGATAGGCTAGTGGCGCTTGGCTGTCCTGCGGGTATAGTCAATTTTGTTCGTAATTGGCTATATCGGAGAAAAGTTCAATTTATCGTCAACTCCGGTGAGTTCGTGGATCGCTTTGTTTACAGGGGCCTCCCGCAAGGCGCCGTGCTTAGTCCGGCATTGTATTCGCTCCTCACTCGGGCTCTCCGTGAGGATCTTCCGGCTGGGGTTGAAATAGTGGAGTTTGCGGATGACATTGGCCTATACGTCTCGGGTCATAATCGACGTCGGAATCGACTCCTGCTTGAGCAAGCCGCTAACATTATTGCTCAGAAATTAAAACTTATTGGCCTTGATCTTGAACCGAAAAAAACAGTTTTGGTCGAATTCAATAGAAATGGTTACGTCGACAAAAGTTTGAGCATCAATATACAAGGATGCGATGTATTCAACTGCGACGGGGCCAAATTTCTTGGAGTTTGGCTTGACAACAGCCTTAATTTTCACCGTCAGGTCCAGGAAGTTAGAGGCAAAGTTAATAGGGCCAACTCTGTTATGAGATACTTGTGCGGGGTGTCAAGGGGCTTGGAGGTTAACACGGCCCTCATGCTCTATAAAAGTCTGGTTAGATCTGTCTCAGACTATGGCATCTTCATATATTTCCCTAGAGACTCGGGATTTCGGCTCAAGCTGGAAAGGACCCAATATATGGGTATACGCACCGCCCTGGGATACAGGAACAGCACTCCCAATAACGTTTTGATAGCCGAAGCTAAAGTCATGCTACTTAGAGATAGAGCGATTATGCTAGGCAGGAACTTTATTACAAAGGCTATAGCTTATAACAACAACGGTTTGTGTCTCAAAATACAATGTACCCTGGATCGAGAGAATTATCGCCGTTTTCTTCTTCCGACTTACAAATTTTCTATGCTTTCTGAAATTTGGAGGAAACTGAGATTCAGGACGGGGATTGGACCTCGGAGACAGTTCGAAGTTTTTCAGGGCCCCTATGGCGCACATACTTTTAGACCTTCCGTGGACCTGGTCACTGGTGAGTCAAGGAAGCATGAGAGATACCCGGATGAGGTGCTTGTTCGTAACGTCGTCAGGAAACATAATTTGACCTTTCCTTTGGAAATTATTTACACGGATGGTTCTTTTGATGAGTCGTGCCGCTCGACGGGCGCCAGTATTGTTATATCTGATCAGGATACTGCTTATAAGATTAGCCTCCCGGGTTCGTGTTCTTCGTTTACTGCTGAGGCGTTTGCTATCAAATCTGCTCTTCAACTTATGATCCTGCAGCATGAGGTTAGGAAGAGAGTCATCGTCATTATGTCTGACTGTAAATCTGCTCTACAATCGATTTACAACAATCATATTAATGTCCATAAAAATCGGTATGTCACGGAAGCTAGACGCTATATTTTCGATCTGGAGACTATATACGGCAAAACGGTTATCCTGCTATGGATCCCAGCACACGTTGGCATTGCTGGCAATGAGCTAGCGGACGTGCTGGCTAAGGAAGCGTCACAGGAGGAAGCTGACCCTTCAATCGAAGTGCCGGTTGGAGACTTTAGGACACAGGATAAATAGGAGTCTTGGGAGGCGACCCAGTCATCGATCGTGGGCGACTCTTCGCATAAGGGAGCGTTCTACTTTGAGCATTTTTTTGATAGGCTGGCAACTAAACCGTGGTTTCATAAAATAAATTCAGAGAGATATTTCGTAACGTTATTTAACCGACTGAGGGCGAATCACTTTAATTTGGGCTCTTCATTAAAAAGAAAGGGATACGTGGAACAGGAAAGATGTGATTGTGGATACGAGAGGGAGGATCTTTACCATGTATTATTGACGTGTCGTAAATATGACGACGCAAGAATTGCTATGGACAAGGAATTGAGAGAGGCGAAATTTTTTGCTAATATCGATTTGTTTCGTATCATTGAATCTAAACAGTGGAATGTTTTGTATATAATTTATAAATTTCTTAAAAGTATTGGCAAAGTTATTTAGAGGTTACATAATCGATCTAGTGTTTTGTCTGAGACTGTACGCGAGTTGAATCAGAGTTTTTTGTCAGTGACTGTATGCGGTCATTTTGTATTGTCGGAAGTGTGCGGTCGTCTGTGTCTTTTTGGTTTACATGATTTGTGTCAATTACCGTCGAGTACAAGACACCATAATTCCTCACCCGAGGAATACAAACGAAAAAACCCCCC